CGCCCAAGACAAGAGGCTCTGTGAAACCCGGAGCAGCTGTGCGGACCTGGTGCCCCCCTGGTGGTTGATTTGTGCCACAGCGGACATGTTGTCCGAGCGAACAAGCAAATACTTGACAGCCAGTAGGGATAAAAAGTGCATGAGTGCAAGCAGCACAGCCCGAAGCTCTAGCACGTTGATATGGCGTGCACCTTCCTGGGCAGACCACTGACCCTGAGCAGTCCTGCCCTGCCACACCCCACCCTGAGAGACATGCATCCACAGTGACAGTCTCCGGCGGGATGGGATGGCGCCCATGGACATGCCCATCAGAAGATAGGCCCTGTCCCTCCAGCGGGACAGAGTGGAGGCACCGCTGAGACACCCTGACTCTCCTGTGCCTGTGCCACTTGGCGTCCAAGTGAAGGCTGTTCAGCCACATCTACATGGGGTGCAGCGACAGCAGGCCTAAGGGCAAAACGGCTGAGGCAGCACAACAAAATGAACAAAATACAAGAAGAAGAAAAGTTAGTATTGCGAGTTCAGATAACACACAGGAGCTAGAAGACCTGACCCACCTGCTTCTTTTAAAATCAGGAACATTTCGGGTTCCCTGTGGACTACAATAACGATGGAGTGTGTGTGGTGGATCGGATGAGGACGGTGTGCCGGCGTTGTTCGACAGCGGTGTGGTATGCTAATGCTAACACAAGCCAAACATGCTAAATCATATCAGAAGGCATCACCCAGATTTGGCAATCACCGGAGCCCGGCAAAAGACAACAGCAGTTTAACAGCTTATCCCTGCTGTTTTTAAGAACCAATAGACATGAAAGCCAAGAGACCAAAATAAATAACGGAAGCTTTTGGCATATGTTTTTCAACGGCTATGCTGCGCCCTTATGCAATAGTAGAGGACCCCAGCTTTTAATGATTGTGATTGAAAGTGATTGAAACACTATCTTATTATTTCTTTTGTAATATTTTCAAGACATTCTTTTTAGTTTTATAGCTTATTGAACCTTTTTGTTTGACATCAGCCATTATAGATAGTATGGCCATCTGAGTGTGTGTGGTACTGTTTGTGGTTTGTTTTTAACTGTGTAATAAAGTTAATTATTCAAAATGTTAGAGTTCCTTATTTCTAAACTGAAACTTGCACTACTGTTCAAAATAAATAAAAAACAAACCTGGCATTATGCATTTGGGACTTTTTTTTGCTTTTTCTTGTTGTACCGAACCCGTACCGAACCGTGACCCCCAAACCGAGGTACATACCGACTCGTGAATTCTGTGAACCGTTACACCCCTACCCGGAACTGATAGTGTCGGCCCCTGAAAGGCAAACCTCAAGAACTTCTGATGGTGGGATGCAATTGGCACGTGATTGATTCCTCTGAGGTCCGAGACTGGACGGAATCCGCCGACTTTCTTGCTCACAAGAAAGTACACCGAGTAGAACCCCCCGGACTGAAGCAGAGGGTCTACTGGCTCGGTTGTCCGTCCAAGAGGACGGACAACTCTTGGGCCAGAGCAAAGGCCTTCGCCGGATCGCTGACAACTGTAATTTCGACCCGGCCGAAGGCGCTAGCCTGAGTCGGCCTGCAGAACCGGAAGCTGCAAGTGTGCCAGAGCCGTACAAATAATGGCCGCCAAGGAGACGTCCTCCACGCCCTGCAGAGAACCCTGAGCAGAGGAGTGGGAAGCCTTTTCGGTGGGTGAGCGGGGCCTCGTCCTCCACCTCTTCATTGAAGAGGTTAGCCGAAGCCGCTAGCGACATGGCATCCTCATGCAGAGGTGCGGCAACCGAAGGAGGGGCAGGCAGCACGGTAGCAGCCCCTATACTGGCCGAACTGATCTGGAGGAAGATGTGACAAGGAGAGGTGTCCGTTGGCTGCTGCCAGATGCTCCACCTCTGCGACGCTAGCCACACTGAGTGCCCGAGGCATGCAGCTACAGTTCATGCAGGCGCTTTGCGTGAGACCCTCCCTCAAATGCTCGAGGCCAAGGCAAGAGGGGCAGCGGTCATGGTCGTCCTCTGGCTCAAGAGAAGCCATGCAGGCGCTACATGAATGAGCCATTATGTAGGTAGCCAGACACAGCGTAACCGGGAGCGGGTGCGAGAACACAGCCTTCACCAGCTGCTGAATGGAAAGTGTAGAGCAATGCTCCTACTCGCCGAACACAACGAGGGATGTAATTGTCCTACACCCACATTAGCAGCAGAGGGAGCGGGAGCGGGAGCGAGAGCACTGCCTTCACCTAGCTGGATTAAATAAAGAAGCTTAAGAGGACAGCTTAGCCAGGCAGCTGCCGCTAGAATCAAGCAACACGTCTACCAGGAGCGGGGGCGAGAACACTGCCTTCACTGGTTGAGTTAATAACGAAAACACAAAGCTAAGACCAGAAAACTGGCTTCTAACTCGCTCGGATCAGTCATTAGCCCGCATGGTTTTTCTTACCACTGCTACGCTGATGACACCCAATTAATTCTGTCCTTTCCCCGCTCAGAGACCCAGGTCGTTGCACGCATCTCTGCTTGTCTAGCTGACATCTCTCAGTGGATGTCTGCTCACCACCTCAAGCTCAACCTTGACAAGACTGAGCTGCTCTTCCTCCCGGGAAAAGATTGTCCCACTCTTGACCTAACAATCAACATCGGCACCTCAGTTGTTTCCCCGACTCAGACTGCAAGGAATCTGGGTGTGACCCTAGATAACAACCTGTCCTTCACTGCAAACATCGCTGCTACAACCCGTTGCTGCAGATACACGCTTTACAACATCAGGAAGATACGTCCCCAGCTGACTCAGAAAGCGACTCAGGTTCTGGTCCAGGCTCTCGTCATCTCACGCCTAGACTACTGCAACTCCCTCCTGGCTGGTCTACCTGCATGTGCCATCCGACCTCTGCAGCTCATCCAGAATGCAGCGGCTCGTCTGGTCTTCAACCTTCCTAAATTCTCCCACACCACTCCGCTCCTCCGCTCCCTTCACTGGCTTCCGGTAACTGCTAGAATCCACTTCAAGACACTGGTACTTGCTTACCATGCTGTGAATGGATCTGGCCCTTCCTACATCCAGGACATGGTTAAACCGTACACCCCAGCGCGTGCACTACGCTCTGCATCAGCCAAACGACTCGTTGCGCCCTCGCTGCGAGGGGGACCCAAGTTCCCATCGGCGAAAACACGTGGGTTTGCTGTCCTGGCTCCAAGATGGTGGAATGAGCTCCCCATTGACATCAGGACGGCAGATAGCTTGCACATCTTCCGGCGCAAACTGAAAACTCATCTCTTTCGACTCCACTTCGAGCGTTAGAACTATTAACGAAGCACTTTTATACTAATAAAGGACTGGCTTACCTAAAGCCAGTTGAGTAGCACTTGAAATGTTTGGCTCTATGAAACCTGATGTACTTATATGATTCTGTTTTCTTCAAGGTTGTGTCTTCCTGGTCGAATGTACTTATTGTAAGTCGCTTTGGATAAAAGCGTCAGCTAAATGCAATGTAATGTAATGTAAAGAAAAAACAGCACGGGTAACTCTGGTGCTTATCTCAAGCGTCAGCCAAAGTGGCTGCACAGGACACAGTTAGGCTGAGCCACGCTACTGCTAACTAGCTAAAAAGGAAAACGCAGCTAAAGCTGGAAACTCAAAATGCTAAAGATAGCTTGGCACAACGCCACGATCAGAAAAAGTACAAAAGAGCACAACAAGGGCAAATCCCGGGAGAGGGAGCGGAAACGCTGCTGTCACCAAAAAGTTTAAAGATCCCATGTCATGGCCACTTCTACTGATCATAATTCCATTGTTGATGTGTACTAAAATAGATTTATACTGTGCAATTTTCCAAACTCACATTGGTTTCTCATACAGCATCTCTGTATAGTATGTGTATTCACCGGTATTCACTCTGTCCTAAACGACTTGTTGGAGCTCAAGCCCCCCCTCCCAGTGAGCCCAGTGTGCTCTGATTGGTCGCGACGTGAGAGGCTCGTTGCTCCTCGCAGCTGCTGCGGGCTGCTGCGAGGAGCAGACAGGCTTCCGTGTCGGCGATACAGCGAGAACAAGCTAAATTCATCCTGAGCACACACAAACACTCACAGCCGAAGTAAAAACAATAAGTGTGGCTTGATATTGAGTAAGAAAAAGGTTTATAACCAGGGCTGCACATAACTGGTGCGCAGGTGCGCACCTCCGCCAAAAAAAGAGCACCATGTCATTTGAAAAAAGGCGCATTTGCGTACCAACATTGAGAGAGAGAGAGGGAGAGAGAAGGGAGAAGAGAGAAGAGAGAAGAGAGAAATATATTTGCGAGTTGAACCTATGATATGAACTCAGGGCCGGCCTGTAGCGCTGGCGTAATAGATGTTCGCCTCGGGCGCCAGATCTGGGGAGGCGCTGCGCTGGCAGCTCTCGGTGGGAAAAACACATTTTTGACCGTTGGTGCTCATCCTAATTTTCGGCCTTGATGTAACGATATTCACAATTAAGTAAATGTAACACCCTTTTCACCCCGGTTACACGTTTCATTTGCCCTGTATGATGGGCACTGTAAGTGATGAAAATGGGGGATGTTGGCTTATCTGGCGCCCACAGCTCACAGCCAAAATGCGAGTGAGCGAGGGAGGGTGCACCGGTACCGGCGCTGTTGTTATTAGAATCTGGTGCTAGCTGCTCTAACAGATATAAGAAGAAGATGTTTCTACAATAATGTGGAGGGAGAGTCCTCTCCAGTCAGACTGTGAGGCTGATAACCAGTGTTGGGACTAACGCGTTACAAGTAACGCGTTACTGTAACGCCGTTATTTTTGGCAGTAACTAGTACTCTAACGCATTACTTTTTAAATTCAGTAACTCAGTTACCGTTACTACATGGTGCGTTACTCCGTTAGTTTTTTTTATATAGCCAGGCGAACAGAGATGAGAACTGTACTTAAGTACAGTACTTGAGTAAATGTACTTTGATACTTCCTGTGTCACATGCGGAGACGGGCTGTGGGCGTGTTTGTGTTGTTTACTAACAAGACTATCATGGCGGCGGCGGAGATCAAGTCTAGTTTCTCCACCTGGAGATATTCTCACTATTTCACTTTTGTCGAGCACAAAGAAAAGAAAGTTTCTGTTAAATGTAAGTTGTGTCCTGGCGGGTCAAAGATCCTATCTACTGCCAAACCAGCAATTCAAATCTCTTAAAACATCTGCAAAAACAACATGCTGGGACGAAGCTAGTAGCTAAGACCACAGAGACTCAGCCGACGCCACTCCACCTCCACCTAAGCAACAGCGGCTGGATTTTAACCAAGGGACTGCTGGCCAGGGAAAAGTCGATAAAGCCATTGCACGGTATGTTGTAGAACACATGCAGGCTATTGCTACAGTGGAGTCACCCGCTTTCAGGGAGCTAGTTAGCATGATAGCATGTCCGGGCGGCACACGGCATATGGGATGGAAAACTTTTTCCAACTACCTGGAGAAAGAATATACAAAAATGGAAAGCCAGCTAATATCGATGCAATCCAGATTGCATATAATGCATGTCAAGTTGATCAACAGATTGTATTATTCTCCAATGCAATAACAGTACTGAAATGAAGGCTATAAGGGCATTAATGGGAGACATTTTTTCAAGTAACTAAAAAGTTACTTTTCACAGTAACGCATTACTTTTTGGTTTAAGTAACTAGTAAAGTAACTGAGTTACTTTTGAAATGAAGTAACTAGTAATGGTAACTAGTTACTGGTTTTCAGTAACTAGCACAACACTGCTGATAACTACAGCTCAGTGAGGTAAAGGACTCTGAGTGTTTAGATAGTTCACTTTAGTCTAAGTTCAAACGGTTTGGTCACAATTTATGTAAACACATATTTCCAAGGCACTCCTTTATAATTATTAGGATAAACAGGTTTGAAATCATTCCAATGTATACTATAGGACAGTAACCAAAAATATCCTTTAAAACTGGAGATAAAAAAAATGCATAAATAAATAAATGTTAAGGTAAAATAAGATATGAATGAACATAAATAAAATAAGTTACAATCTAGGTGTAGTCATGGACTCTGACCTGAGTTTCAACAGTCACATTAAAACAGTTACTAAATCAGCCTACTATCACCTAAAGAATATATCTAGGATTAAAAGACTAATGTCACAGCAGGATTTGGAAAAACTTGTCCATGCTTTTATCTTCAGTAGACTCGACTACTGCAATGGTGTCTTCACAGGTCTCACTAAAAAATCTATTAGGAAGCTGCAGCTGATTCAGAACGCCGCTGCTCGAGTCCTCACTAACACTAAGAAAGTGGATCACATCACTCCTATTCTGAAGTCTTTACACTGGCTTCCTGTGTGTCAAAGAATAGATTTCAAAATACTGCTGCTGGTTTATAAAGCACTGAATGGTTTAGGCCCAAAATACATTTCTGACCTCCTGCTAAATTATGAACCATCCAGATCTCTCAGGTCTTCAGGGACTGGTCAGCTTTCTGTCCCCAGAGTCAGAACTAAACATGGTAAAGCAGCATTCAGTTATTATGCTCCAAATATCTGGAACAAACTCCCAGAAACCTGCAGGTCCGCTACAACTCTGACTACTTTTAAATCCAGGCTGAAGACTTTTCTTTTTGTCGCTGCTTTTAATTGAACTATTCATATCTTAGACTGCACTGTAACTTTTATCCATGTACTTTTTTTCTTTTAATGTTTATTTTATTAGCTTTTCTTTTTAATGACTGATTTTAAATGCCATTTTCTTAATCTCTTTCATTTTTTGTAAAGCACTTTGAATTGCCTTGTGTTGAAAAGTGCTATATAAATAAACTTGCCTTGCCTTGCCTTACATTCATTTGTTATTGGCTATGGTAGGTTATTGGTTATGTTCACATACTTATTGTCACGATCTGTCTTTATGGTGTTTTGTCTTGTCTTGTTTTATTTTGAAAGGTCTTCACTTCCTGTCTTGCCTGTTTCTGTCTGCGTTGTGTCTTGTTTAAATCTGTCTGTGGTTCCCGGTCGTTAGTTTCCCTGGTGTGTCTAATTTACCCGATTGTGTTCACCTGTGGCCCCTGTGTTTTCTCCTCCTTCCTCACCTGTGTCTTGTTTCTGTGATTAGTCTTGTGTGTATTTGAGTTCTGGTTTTTCTGTCTGTCTTTGTCGGTTCGTCTTTTGTCATGACTTGTTCGTCGGTGAGTGTTCTGTTTTGTCGTTGTTATCACCTAGCCTTGAAATAAAGGAATTGTCACTTTATTCTGCATTTGGGTCCTACCTGCTTCACACACCGTGACACTTATTTGATTACATCCACTTTTCTAAGATGACAAAAGAGACTTTCGACCCAAAACCAGCAGCTAATCACAGACTCAACCAGAGAGAAAGTAGTAGGCCTACATCATCAGCTACCATGTCTGACAGAGAGGAAGAGAGTGAGGAGAACAGTGAGGAGAACAGTCAGGAGGGTAGTGATGACAGCTTGTAGGATTACTGGTCGTGCTAATGTTGTCTTGTGTTCACCTCTGCATGTGTGTTCTGTGTTCACCTCTGCATGTGTGTTCAGTGCCGTGTGTCTGGCAAATAAAGTCAAGACCCCCTCAAAAGTTACGGTTTATTTCATTTTAAAGATGAGCACCAAGCAACATCTCCAGGTGCTCCTTTGAGAACCAGGGCAAAAAAGTGATGTGCACCCCTGTTTATAACGCTGTGAGCATGGGTCTGCAGAGAGCATTTCTCCGCGATCCCAAGGTAGTAGCCCGAAAAACGTTTCAACATTTAAACAGTCGTGGTAGATACCTTGTTTGTTTTAAACATCATAAATACACAAACAACAATGAATACTTACAGGTTGTGTACCCGAAACTCCCGCTGGTCCAAACAAAGTAGGAACAGCATCGTTCTTCAGTGCCCTACGCTGTACATATCCGGCATGAATCGCTGAAAGGTTTGTGAAGCTTTGTTTCGTGAAAGGCTGGCAGAGGATGTGGCCTCTGGGTATTCACACGTCACAGTGCCCAGGGAGTAAACAATGGAAAATGAGAAATCTCCAACGAGGCGTTTTGGGGAGGTCTTTTCTGTGTTAGAGTTTTACTCCCTACAGCAGGGGTGGCCAACCAGTCAGAGGTTAAGAGCCAAATGTTTTCTATGTTACTGCAAAGAGCCACATCAAACACACAGTCACTGATACCGCTTGTTTCAGTTTTTTGTTTTCTGGAGACAAGATTTCAACCACGTCACTGATGCATTTTTGTGGCATTGGGATATTTTTTTTTTTAAATCCCCTGGAGCAGAGAGGAGCTGTGGATTATTGTTATTGAATAATGCATCAGTGTTTCTTAGGGTCAAAAACACTAAACCCACAACTTAAAATGAAAGCGTTTAGTTTATTTAATAAAAGAGCACATGTTCAATGTGAAAAGTGACAGTAGTTATAGATTATTTGCAATTTGGTGCTATATATATATTTAAAAATAAAAATTATATATATTTTTTAAACACCTTAACAATGGTAGGGGAAACACTGGATAGTGTTTAATCAACGATAGGTTTTCACCCCCTCAAAGGTGATTGGTTCACTGCATCGCAGGTATTATTGTGATTGGCTCTTGGGCCACATCAAAATTAGACGCGCTGTCATCCTCTCATACTGACACCTGACACCACACATACACATAGGGAGAGCCGGGACGAAAGTAACACGGGACGAAAGTAACACGGGACGAAAGTAACACGGGACGAAAGTAACGGAGCGATTTTATCCGAGCCCTAACAACTTTGACCGGCCAAATTACGTCAGAATTATCAGCATTCAATACTTAACAGACCTACTAAATATCAGGTTTAACTGTCAGGAGTAGCTAGTGTTGTCACGATACCAACATTTTGGTTTCGATACCAAGTCAATAATTGCGATTCCGATTATTTTTCGATACTTTTCTTAAAAAAAGGGAAACAGTCTTAAATGTAATTATTGTGCTTTATTTCACACCAGAACCATAACACAAACTTTTAAACAATGAGAACAATAAATAAATTAATAAAATGAATACATGTCTTACAGACAGGCCTCGTGGTGTCCGTAGGCTTGCCCTCACTGTCAGAGATATAGCTAAAATACATAACAATTTCGCTTCTGGCGTCTTTTTTGTCAACAAGCCGAGGCGCAGCGGCAGTTGCACTCCCACTTGCAGCCATACTTCTCGTGTTCTCACATGCTCTGGCAGCTAGCGCGTGCATGAGAGAGGGGAGGGACTTAGAGCGTGCTTGAGAGGGGCAGCACTGCAGGCATGGCTGCAATGCAGGGAGTGGAAGCAGAGCGCTGAACACACACGGCTCTTATTAAAACGGCGCTTTCTCACCGGAGTACTTTCCCCCGTCATTCTTAAAGTACCGGTACTAATGAAACGGAGGAATCGTAACGTTTTTAACGGCAGGGTATCGCGGTACCTTTCAAGTATCGGTACACCGTGCAACACTAGTCAGGAGTCAGTGTCTCTCCCCCAAACTCACACATACAATTCGATATGAACTGAAGAGCCGCATGAAACTAGGCAAAGAGCCGCATGCGGCTCGAGAGCCGCGGGTTGGCCACCCCTGCCCTACAGGGTGTACTTTAAGGGTTTTTGACTCTGCAGACCGTTTACATGCAGAAAAACCTTCATAACACACAAGGTGACGGGTAATAACCGGAAAAGCATGACATGGGATCTTTAAGCCAAATAGCAACAAGACAGTAATCAGGACAATTTAGCTGGGAGAGGGAGCGGAGACACTGCCATCACCGACCAAGCCGACACCAACCTGTCCGTCGAAGTTTCTGCACAGCTGGCCACAGCTCCTGGAGAACAAGTAAACCCACGGCTCCGACTGGATCAGTCGCGAAGCTGCACGCAGCCAGCTGTTTGCAGAGAAATCCTTAGATCAAACGTTCCAACCGAACACTGCAGGCTACAACAAGAATGTAGCCACGGTACTCTCGCGCAGCGAGAAGATGAAAGGAGCAGTTCCTCTGACGACACATATAGCCGGTGTCAAGTGGGTCACAAGTGACGTTGTTGTTGTTATTGGCACTCGAGCTGCGCATGCGCGCGATGGACATATCCAGTGCTAAAGCACCGCTTCTGGCGGTCAGTGGGGACGAAAGAGAACTGTATGTACACTCAAATCTGAAATCCTTCTGAATTAAAATCCTTTTTACCGGAGTTTTAAGCCTTTACGTGCATTACCTCCGCCCTCTGCACTTATTTTGGAGAAGCTCTGACACTTATTCGCATTAGCTCACAATGTAGCATTATAACATTTCCTAATTAGCATGTTAAGGGGTCCGTATATTTTCAAAATATTGATTTTTAGATTTTTTTCTGAGAACGTACTCAGTTGATACAATCCTTATTAATTGAACTAATTTGAGTCTAACCTAGAAAGTCTTTAAGTCAGTGCATGGTATGACACTTAATTCAATATAATTTCTCAGCAGGGAAGCCTACAGTTCAACATATCTGGAATATGAGGTTCCAATATAGCTTACAATTTGTTTATTTTTTTTTATTAAGATGTTATTGCTTTGCCTGTACCTGCATGGGGTTGACCCTGACGGACTGCTCGAAGCAGTCCACACACTGCTGGAAGTCCTTGGAGCGCAGGTGCAGCAGGGCTTTGGAGCGCATGGCCCTGGCACTGCGCCCAGCCGACAGCTCCCAGGCACGGTCGTAGTACTGATGCTCCCTCAGAATATCTCCCAGCAGGCAGTACAGGCTGGGCGTCTCCTTCTTCTCCAGCTCATGGCGAACAATCTCCTCAGCCTGAGCAAAGGGATCGTAAGGAGGGAGGGATCAGTGTGGAGGAGGAGATGTATGCAGGAGAGTGTTATTGTAAAGTGAAAGGAACAATAATATATTAAGAGATGTAAAGATGTGTGAGGCAGTGTAGCTGATGCAGCAGTAAGTCAAAAAAAGAACAAAGACCACAAAGTCAGTAATGGTGGATGAGTGGATTTGGGATACGTTTGACAGGGATAATAATTTAAATTGAGCTTATGTTACATTCTTGTCAGGTGACTGCCACCTAATCTGTGGACGTTTGCACCCATTGCACCTCACCCTGCCACTACACGCGTGAGACTGCTCCTGGATGAGCTGAGGCTGGAATAATAATAAACAGAATCTCACCTCTCTGTGACATGATTTAGCCTGAGGTTTGCAAAAACCACCAAATGGCTGGGGCCCCTGAGGCCTAACAGAGGCTGAGATTTACTGCACTCTGATCCCCTGTCAGAGGGCTGACACCGGGCCAGGAGCCTTTCACACTGCTGCTATGAACTCTGGAAAGATACCAGATATACCATTCTACAATTAAAGATGATACAACGTTACCATTGTAGGATCATTAACCACACAATGTCACCTTCAGGCTGATATAAAAATACATTTACAAACCCACCTATCAGAGACATCACTGACAATACCATTTCAGAGTGAAGTCAATTATTTTTTTCTCTTGTGCAAATGGCATTTTTATCCAGCATTATTTTTTGCTTACTGGCTGATGCTTTACATATGATCTCTTGACATCTCAGTTCAGTAGTTAGCTAATGAGCCGAGTGTCAGCTGTGTTTCAGTTCAGTGTGCTTCACTAAGTGCAGTTTGGGCTCCAGTCAAATACTATATGATTAACTGAAAGCAATTTATGAAAAATTATTGTATGTAGGATTTCTAATGACTCCATACACTGAGAAGAACTGCTTTGGCCATAATCAGTTGTCACCACAACATTTGATGGCAAAATAAGCCTCCAGTAGACCCTTTTTGTGTGATGAGACATCATGACGTAGCCACTGCACAGCTGGAACATGACTCGGCAATATCCAGTGGAAGTCATGGGTAAGAACAACACCCATCTGGGGCTGCAGCAGGAATGTAAGCCTGCTCCCTTGTTGCCTTTCACTAAAGACAACAACAAAAAGGGTAAAACTGAAAATGATCAAAGCTAATCCCACAGGCTGGCTATCACTGCTACTCTGTGCGCTCATAATGTGGTTACTGCTGCTGCACCATTAGCTAGGCAGCCACTGTTTATGTTCAGCCACTTCAATGATGGCTTGTGACATTAGATTTGGCAAATGATATATGTAGCTGGAACTGTACGTCTTTCTGTGGGTGTAATGTGTATGTGTGTGTACCTTTCCATGTTGGCCCAGCCTCTCGTAGCAAATCACTACGTCCTCCCAGAGCTCCAGCTTTTGGTAGATGATCAGAGCTGAGCTGGTGCAGCCGAGGTCTGTGAGCAGGCTGCCCAGCTGTTTCTGTGGAGGGCAGAGACATTAGGCTATAAGCATGCTGGCAGAGTGACATTTTGTCCAACATGTGAATAAAAATGCAAAAATGTTGATATGTTTCAACCTGTTGGTTTTGCACTTTAGCAAATAAGAGTTGTTAGCAAGCACCAACTACACCCGAGAACGGTTCAAAGTCAAATGAAACGTGTCCGGTCATAAATCATTGAATTTGTTTAAATACAGCAAGTATATAAACCTATACAGTATATATATCCCAGTCTTTCATAGTAGTTAAAAGTAAGTGTTCTTCTTGTCTCTTAAGCATGCATCTATAGCTGGTATTTGTACAGAGCTGACCGTCACAGGAAGGGGACTGTGGTTAAAACTCTATTGAGACGCATACTATGAACCAAACTCAGTATACATGTCCAAAGAATGCTCCTAACACACACACACATAATATATGTTTATATCACATGTCCTCAGGGGCGGATCTACGGGGGGGAAAGGGGGGGCAGCTGCCCCCTCCCACTGTAGAGCATTTCCCCCCCAGCTATCCCCCTAACTTTTGTGTCCCTAAAATTGTACTTGTAGAAACAAACCTACACTATGTCCACAAGCTTCTCAAGCAACAAAACAAGCATTTCATTAATTAAAAGTGAATCATTTTAAATATCATCTTAGGCCCGTTAAAAACGCAGCTACGGCCCTGCATTAAACTGCGGAGCGGCGTTCTCTGCGGCTCTCTGCAGCTGCGTGAGCCGCGGCTCACGCAGCTGCAGAGAGACCGAGCTGTCCCAGCACCTGAAGGTGGATCAGCTCCCCCTGGGAGCATTTCCCCTTCCACTAGTTTTGTTTTTACTAAGGACGAGAGCTTGAAACAAAATATGAATAAAACGCTGCCGTTTGAATCGATAGCGTGTAACAGACAGTCGCTGTTTGGGACGTTACGTTACAAAATACTACACAGACAGTGCTAGCTGGGAGATCGATCACTTTATTTGCTAAACTATGCAGTTCTGCTGTTTTATACTATATGTTTGTTTGTTTGTCTGAACACCTTGTTTCTATTGTGAATTAAGAACACTTAATAGGTTATATATACAGTATAAAATACCACGTACTGTCCACCCTCCCATGCCACCCTGGCATGACCTCTTGCCCCCCCTTTGCCACCCCATGTAAAATGTTCTCGAACTGCCACTGCATGTCCTAATTAGAAAATGCTAGATTTGGATGAAAAGCATATTAAAAAGCATATTTGCCGTTCACCTGACCAACATCAAATTATGAAAATAGGAATAATAGTAAAATACTTGTGTGCAGATAAACGTAGTCACTGATCCCCAAGTGTATTACAATTCACCCTGAGAGGGATATGAATGCCGGTACCAAATTTAACAGAAATACATCCAATATTTATTGAGGTATTTCTGAATCGGTAGGATACTTTTTTTTCGACAATCCACTCAATATCAGACAGAGATATGGCAGTTTTGATTAAAGCAGTAGACTGAAAGGCCAACCAACCTTGTTGTCCATGGTAACACATCACTAGTATCTTAAAAAGAGTGACTTTATAAAAGATTTAACGTTTTATATAAACACACCTATAAAGTTAAACCAATAGCTTCCTGATCAGAAGAGATGTCACGTATACCTCACTACATGTTGTGTATTTACAGTTCTAAATTGTGCAAGACGAAGTATAAAAATGCAGAATGCATTAAAATAAAAGGAAGTAATAAACAGTATTTCATGATAAAATATCAAAACAAACACACAGAGGAAAACTGCACTCTATCCCAGCCATAAATAAGCCTTCAGTGCTCTGTCACATGCAGGCCATGGTTACCCAGAATGAAAAAAAAGGAACCATCTGCAATCATCCGCCTTCACGTCCTCAGGCGGCAATAGGGACTGTTCAATTCCATCTTTATTGCTGTTATCAGTTATTACACGCCGCCTGGGTGATGTCTCATCTCAACTGATCTCTGCTCTATCCTCCTTCTTCAATCTCTCTGACAGATACATCTTTCTATTACTGCCTTCTCTACTCACTGCTCGTTGGATCCTTAGAACTGCTACAAGATGTTTATTTTGTAAATTGTGTAAATTGCTGCTGTTAAATACCATCCAACTATGTGCAATATATATATATGCCGTTAAAACTGTGCTATATATACCTGGCTGCTAAATCCTAAGAACTGTTACAGGATGTGTGTTTTGAAAATTATGTAACTTTTTATTTATTTTTTATATCATAACTTAGTACTTTTTAATGCATGTAACATATGTAACATGAAGCTGTCTGTGGCTCTTTTTTCTGCTGTAACTACGTACATTTCCTCTCTGTGGGACTAATAAAGGTATTCTGATTCCATTTCACTCTGCTACCATGCTGGGCTGTGTTAGAGTCTTGGAAGACGTTATGATGCTTTGAGGTACAGCAGCTCTGTCAGGAAATATCATTAGTGTGGTTTCTACAGCTCCTCTGAGAACTCCATCCATCCCATTTTTCCGTTTTGGTTCAGAGTTGTCACCTTGTGCACACAGAGCAACTGTTAGGATTACACTGTAATCTGAAGATGTCCATTGTCTAACTGAAGTGAAGTCAGACTGAGACTGTCACAAACACAACAGTGATTATCCAATCTAAATCTAGAAATCCTAACTACTCACAGCAGGTGGTTTAAGCTTTGGATTCTCATTGTTTTCACATGTTGATGTGCAGCTACTGCTAGAGAGATGCCCAGTATCCAAAGAGTTTGTAGGACTGTCTTTTTTATTGTCTTTCCACAGCTAAAAATACAAATGTAATGAAGAATTTAATTGTTCCATCTATTGTGACCTGCTTATTCTAAGCATAGCATTGTCTGAGTACTTTATTTTGTTGGTGACACAGGAGCAACGACTCTTATATATCACCACAGTCATAGTTGTCACCAGAGTGTAATGCTATTTACTGCAGCAAGTAACACCTGCATAAACTTAGTATGTTCACAAAAAAATGTGCATCTGCCAGTTTCTGATCATACATCGGTATCAAACCTCTAAGCCTATTCCTTCTCTAGTGAACTCGTCCAGCACATCTTCACCTCGTGCACATATGGATTGTGTTGACTTACAAAGTCTGGAAATCAAGCCAGTGATAGCTTGCACAATCATGGCTTTTCACCGTAACAACATTTAAAAAATATTTTCCTATTTATTATTTTTTCCAATACAATTCATTATATTCACATAACATAATGGAGATCTGTGAAATGGGACATCCTATTGAGCTATCCATGCCTCTGAATAGGAGGACACACATGACACTACTTCGTTCTCAACTGTAGTAAATGTTTAGTGCCAATTAACAAATGTTAGCATGTCAACAATGTTAAACTAATGCAGTGTAAAACACATATCCTATAAACATCAGCATGTTAATAGTCATACCATGCATGTTAGCTCTCATTTAGCTTAGCTGACAACTTATTTGCACATTTGATGACTCGAGATTCAAAGAGAAATTCATTCAGTGTTTAATTTGTATTGGTTGTTGATTAAAAAAAACTTTTTTTTAAAGTGTGTGGTACCTGGACAGCCCATCTGGGGGGGGCTTGGCAGAAGTAGAAGGCCTTTAGCCGCTCAGTCCCAGGACAGCTCCGGTCTTCAAAGTGGTCTACTATTGCCTGGAACAGGAAAACAAGCTGAAATTCTGAAGAGGGGTCTGTTAATAAGCCCACATGAGACAATAAATACACACTGATAATTAAAGAAACTCTACAACAACAAATCATAGTATTATTAAATAATAAAGTAAATAATCGCAATAAATAAAGTATCCCACACTCCTCCTCACCTGAGTTTGCATCATGGCTCTCTCCACACAGCGGGAGTTGCCCCTCTCCAGTTTGGTCCTGAGGCAGAGAGCGGTCACCTCCACAGCCCAGAACTTAGGCTGAGAGAGGATGCACTGCAGACACAGGAGGGAGAGAGGCTTCAGACAGCATCAAGACATCCATGATGAATAACAAATCAGAATCTGGGACAATAGTTTTTCATATCATACAAGTCAAAGTCTAATTGTTTGTATGATAGAGTTTATTTAAGAGTATCTATAGTCAATTAGCTCTGATCACACAGCCAAAACCTATAATTATGACTACACTACAAACGCTTAAAAAACAAGTAGCAATCCAACAATACCAAAGTCTACAATAGCCAGCAGAAACCAATATTTACTAATATAATATAAACTAATATTTATGGGATGTACGCGCAGCACTGTTGCTACCCGGGCTCCTGACCTTTACTGCAAATGTCTATTTAGCTTCTCAACACTCACATGTGATGTAATTGAGATGTAAATGTTGGCCATGAAGGTCGTACAATGAGTCGGCAGTATTTATTGCTGTTAATTAACAAAATGACGACTTCCTGTAAACAGTTCATGCTAAATGTGTGCAGGAAGTTTTGAGTTTAATTTACAGATTCATTACAAGTACTACAAACCTTTCATACAGGTTAATGTGTATCAGAGTTCCCGTTAGAATATTTTTTCGCCGGTCAACATGTCCGTTAAAGTTTAAATCTTCCGGACAAAATGAGAAAAGTGCCGGTCAAAGGTCTTCTTTGTTATTTATTGTGCTTTAAAACAAATTGATATGATTCGATATTAAACAAACTAATTATAGTAGATTAACTACATTATTCAAAAGTGCACAGTAACTTACAATAACACGGGAATAATAAACGGAGCGCTCTCTCCCTCTCCTGACAGCCCGTCAGTATCATGCAGCTCGCTGATCCAGTAATGAGTGACCCGACAGTAAAACTAAACATATCTATAACTAGTTACGGTAGTTTGAGAGGTCATTAAAATAGCTACGTGTGATATTCTAACCTGGTGTGTGTTTTGCTCCGCTCACCGCTGCATGTGATCATGCAGAGCTGCGTGTCGACTCGTCAGCAGCAACTGATCTCTCTCTCCCGTCAGATTAGACTTCACTCGCATTTATGTCCATATCGATCAGATCCAGCTAGTTCTAGCTAATGATATGACTACCTGCTTATTAAAAGACACCTAAACAATAAGCGTCGCTATGCAACTGGGTGAGGCCGCAAAGTATAGCGCAGCATTATGCATTTGTTTACATGCCCACCGGAACCCCGAGGCATTACCAACAGATCAACGCACGATCAACGCACAATCAACCCATACAGGACATCTCTTTCTCCACATTAAGTGTTAGACATTATAATGGAATATTCTCGTCTGTCACATAAATGGCGCAAGTAGCGCAACTGATGTGGTATTGCGCTAAACGGAAATTATTTTGAACGGACACTTTGACCGGAGAGATTTAGATTTGCCGGTCTTCAGCATATTTTACCGGTCGTAGTCCGGTAATTACCGGCTAACGGGAACTCTGATGTGTATAGGAGAAACTTGTGTTAAATGTGGTTTGATTAGACACGGGCCCCTTAAAGTTGACATATTCAAAGCCCCCCCGGGCAAAACAAAGACACATCTATGAATGTTTCCTTTCATTCTAGGGTTTCCCACACATAGACTATACTTGGGCGGGCCGCCCAGGTATATTAACGGCCGCCCAAGTATATTTCGCGACCCATTTAGTTTTTTGTTTTTTTTTTAATAATTTTTTTTTTATATAGTTTTTTTTTTTTATTCGTCCGTGACCACGACGCCATCTGCGATCGATTAACTTGTAGACAATGATCCCTCGCTCCCTTGCTCTGATCTCGCCTCCTTCTGGCCTGTTAAGTGGCCTGCCTCACACAGGGTGACTGGCTGTCCACATGATGTGGCCTGCCGACATGGCCACTGTCATACAGATCATAAATCAAAGCCCTTGATTGGTCTCTGTGTGTCATTCAAGCTCGGGATAACCTCAGCTCAGGTGAGGTAAAGCACTCTCTGAGTGTTTAGATAGTTAACTTAGTCTAAGTTCTCAGTGGGTCTCAAACGGTGTGGTCACCATTTATGTAAACACATATTTCCATTTGAGAGGGTAGTGATTGGTCTAATGGATAGTGAGGTGGGCTGAAGATCGGAAGGCTGTGAGTTCAAATCCCGCCAGGAACACCACCACTAGTGTGCCCTTGAGTAAGGCACTTAGCCCTTAGTTACTCCAGGGAGAATGTCCCTGTAATCGGTCATTATAAGTCGCTTTGGATAAAAGCGTCAGCTAAATGAAATGTAATGTGATTAGTAAAATATGCATGAATAAATAAATAAAAAGTTAACTAGGTGAAAAAAGGTAAGATACACTTTTAAAACTTGTTGAGAGAAAACTAGTCTTTGCTGCTGCCTCAAAGAGGAGCAGGGGGAGAGGATGGAGAGGGGGGAGAGGAGGGAGACAGGAGAGGCTGATTCAAGAGCACAGACACACTCACAACTATAAATGAACCAAAACTAAATTAATAAACAAGTTTCAGTGTTTTTTTCATATTGGATATGGTATGTTATTGGTTATGGCCTTGATTTTATGATTATTGAAATGTATACAGTTCTGTTTCATATAGGTGTTTCCATAGATCTAGTCTCTTTATTTTCCCCTCAAAATGCACCAGATTGATGCATTTAACTCCAAAATAAAAAATAAAATCTTACCGGGGGGGCATGCCCCTGGACCCCCCTAGAGGATTTGAGGTCGACCCCCACTAAAAATCACATGGATAGGTTCCTAAATACATTAATAAATACATTTATTTTTTTAAATAGTAACCCATTTCCATATGTTCATGTGTGGGTAGTAGATTTAAACTATAGGGCTATCATTATGGACCCTGCCTGTACCTGTTCGCTCTGCCATCGCGTGAAGGGTCTGCTAACAAGCGACCAACAGAAAGGTTAATGTTGTTGCACGTCACCTCAACCCCCCCCGCTACCACCACCCCCCAAAGTATATTTCAGATCTGTGGGAAACACTGGCAGTTAATGGACCAGCACCAGAGGCATTCCCATACACACAGGCGTTGGAGCTGTTCTTCATGAAATCCCAGAAGGATGAAGTGCTCTGACAAACAGTGCCATCTTTGCGCAAAATGATTATACCGGAATGAAAAGTCAATAAATAATGTTGTTAAAACTTTTTTTTTTTTTTTCCCTTGCCACCACCCGCCCAAGTATATTTCATATCCGTGGGAAACACTGCATTCCCTTCTGAAACTCCATATTTAGCTTCCTCATAAACACTTGTGCATTCTGAATGAAGTCCATAAGCATATTCAATTCAGTAAGCACCTGATCTACATCTGCACACAGAACTGAGAACAGACACCCTGGTGTCAAATAAGGACGGATTAGATCTAGTTCCCTTTATTATCCTTCCACACATCTATAGCCCGTCTCCTATGCTCTGTGGTAACAAGCAGAGCAGCCGTCTTCAGAGATCATTATTCAAACCCATTACAGCAAGAAAGTCCTAATCTGTGTGCTGTGCTGATAATCTGCTGCTCAGTGTTCGCGCTGTAGATGATCAGATTAAAGGGAGCAGGGGGGGGGGCTCTTGTACTGATAAACTGTCAGGTAGACACTGGGGAAGATGACACTAGCTTTGTATATGAGCCTTGGTTCTGGCTCCTTTAATCAGAACACGCTGTACAACAATGACTTTCTACCTACAGTAACTGATCAACATGGAAATATGCATACAGATGATGTTATAAATGGTTTCATGCGAGATGAACAAACACTAATGATGTTTGTGGATGCTTAGCAAGTCGTGATGGAGTCATTAGTGCAACAGTAAATTGTCCTAATGTTATTCCTCTCTCAACATCACTCACCCAGCAATTAAGATCAGACAATAAGACATGATCTGCATTCCTCATGCAGAGGTGAATACAAAGAAGCTACAAGCTCCTCTCAGAGGCAATGAGAGAACATTTATTTTACAACAGTGTGAGAGTAACCTTGGCTAATGTTCACTTATTTATTAGAATTGATAATTTGATGTTTGTCAAAGTGCATTAATAACAAGAGCAATGCCATCAGTTGCTATCAGACAGCTATCATTGCTTAAACTAAACAAGGGGCTTCAAAGTCATTTTAGTTCAGCGGCCACATGAAGCCCAATTGGATCTCAAGTGGGCCGGACCAGTAAAATCATAGTATAAAGTCATCCATTATCAAAGGAACCAAGCGAAACATTAGGATTAAGAGAGGGAACAGGATCTGCAAAATATGAATAAAGACTCAGAAGGACAACTCTGACTGTTTGATTTCCACCACAAGCGACAGACTCTGCACATTGATCTTCAGAGTTTTTGACACGGCGACAGGTGCACGAGACAGCTCACCCATCACAACAGCTACATCGCTCTTATTAACAGCTGTCAGCTTCAGATCATGCCAATGCAAAAATATGGCTCCGGTAGAACAGTATAGAATATGGTTCAGTAATATTTTGGCCAGTTCATGCATTCGCCTGGTGTTTATAACTCATTCATCACATAGGAATGATGAGACTGGATTCATTTCTCACAGTGTCTGAGAACATTGGATGAAACTTGAGAATATGAAATGTTAGTTTTAAAATATGGGATGAAATTTGAGGAATATTAAATGTGATGTCATCTAGACTCTTTTTTTTCACTTGGACATGAACATCACAATGAAAAGAGTCTAGATGACATCACATTTAATATTCCTCAAATTTCATCCCATATTTTAAAACTTCCATTTCATATTCTCAAGTTTCATCCAATGTTCTCAGATTTAATTTTGGTAGTTTAAAATACCATTAACATTTTTAAGAAAACTAGATTAAAAGCCACAAGGAGAACAAATGGCACAATCGTTCTCTTCACTTGACTTTTAGTGTTTGCAATAAACACAGAGAAGATGTGGTTTCATTGACAGTTTTGAAGGAATACAAAATATATATATGGAAAAATTGAGACTATTGGAAATAAAAAGAAGGTAAATAGAGCATTATGAGTTTATCA